CGCGCCACCGAGAGATGGTCTTCTTCGTGAAATGTCGTTCAGAGTGAACTTAACTTCCAATGGTCAAAATGCTTGGCCACCTTGCCCAGAAACTGTGGAAACTGACGATGGATAGAGAATTCATAGGTGCCAAAACTTAAACAAAATCATGGTTTGGGCCGCGGTTGGCTAGGAAGTCATCTTCTTCCCACGCTTTGTCGAAGAGGGTACTGAAACCACAGCGGAGGGTTACTTGTTAGGTGTGCCGACTAACACCCCACTTTCCTGCTGCACAAAATCATACAACGGATCCAGACCGCTCGTGTTTCAGTGCAGCATAGCTGGTATATTGAAGGTCGAATCACACGCATCATCGCAGCACGCGAGAACACCAGCTCTGGTCTCAGCAGCGCTCATACTGGCCCAATGCTGGCCAATAAAAGTACTCATTTGAACACGATGGAATATTTCGCGTTGACTAGCTCAGAGATCAAGGCCTGCTCGATTAACACCACCCAGCCGCAGGACAGAGCGCGAACCTGCCCTACGTTTAGGAAGGAACTTCTTCGGAGTACTAGCTACGCGCCACGGTGGACGACCCTCCTCATAACTAGTGGCTAGGCTCGGTCTGAGAGAAACTTGGAGACTTGAAGCCGAGTTCGGTACTGGCATTTCATTCATAAAATTCTAATGACAAACAAGCTCACAATTCTCGTTTTACAGTTCCTACAAGGGCAGGAATTTGAGCAAATAATTTTGGCGCAACTTGTAGAGTCTGTAACAACTCATAGCATAGTTACAGTGAAAAATTCCTGTAGTCAGAGGACCTCCACGATTAGGTTACTGTAGAGAGCCCTATTGGTATACCGATCGTAGTGACACATCTTATGCGGTCTGGCCCTTGCAATGATTTCTTGTGGCAGCCCATGTGAAAAGCAGTTTGTTCAAAGCCTGAGGCTCACTGGGTGACCACAAAGGGATAATATGAATGGTTGGCCCAGACAGCGAAAGATCCAGAATTTGATCCACGGACCGCCCATGTGGTAAGCAGCGGCCCTGGCTATTGGACCCCTTGGAATGCCAGAGAATGGCTAAGCTTAATTTGAACTGGAAACCTTGAGGAATTCAAGGAATTTAGTGACCAAGTGAAAGTACGAATTTAGAAACTTGCGATTGTGCAATCATGCTATGTTT